TGTTGATAAGTTAGGGGTAGACAATAAGAACTTTCCCCTTTACATTGACCACACCGATCTTTGTGGAGATAGCAGTTGGCAATCGATGTCTAAACATAGCGGTGTTACAATTTTGGACAATGTAAGTATTTATTTTTATTTACTAATTATGTTATTTGAAGTTATCGTCATATTTAATGTACATTGAACTGGCTACTTTAGGATGATGAATGAATTGTCGGAGGAACAACGCACCCAAGATGTGTATGGATTTTTTGAGCCCCAATCCATACAAAAATTAGGAAACAAGAGAGAAGAAGTTCAAATATACATCCAAAATTGGATGATGAAGTCAAGGAAGAAAGTTTACTTGGGTGCTTACCACCATCGGTAAGTATTTAAGCGTATGAAATTATTCGCATTAAATTTTATAGTGTATTGTATTATCCTAACTTTTTGTAATGTAAGCGAAATCATTGGCGGTTGTTGGTTGTTTGCCCAAAGCGGAATGTTGTGGCTTGGTTCCGCTCCATTGGGCAAGAAACCTGATGCAGATCTTAAAAACATTGTAAACAGGTACACATTCTTATAATAATTTAAACAATTATTAATTGTTTTGTTACTTAATTGTTTCATTATATCTTGTATTGCACGAGTGCATTTAAGGTTTGCAATACAATTGATGGAGTACACACAAGCAAAAGCACGACTCCAGATTGGATTTTTGTTAATGTAAGTAATTTTATATTTATGTATTATATCATTCATTTTATATGTCAAATTAATATATTATTTTTGGTAGTGTAATAGGCAACCAGGATCTTATGAGTGCGGATATTATGTTATGCACTGGATGTGACTGATTGTTGTTAGCAAGACTGAGGATACATGGAATCAGGTTTGCTTAAATTTAGTATTCAATAAAAGACCCAGTATTGTGTCATTGGATACTCTGTTAAATTATCTTTTTTCTTGTAACAGGTATTTTCAGACAGGGAAGCATTGCCCATAGAGACCATTGACGATATTAGAAACACATGGGCTGATAAGTTTGTTAAAGTTAGAAGTAGGCAAGTTTAGTTATTAATTTAGTACTTAGTTTAGTAGTTAGTTTAGTTACTTTACTAGTTAGTTTACTAGTTAGTTTATTAGTTAGATTAGTAGTTAGTGTATTTGGTAGATAAGTAGTTGGATACACTATAATTTTGGATACAATTTTATTTTTGGATGCACATTCAATTGTTTATATCTTGTACATTGTCTGCCTGGGTTGTATTCAAATTTGCAGGTATGTATATATACAAACATTGGGTACCCTGTATAAACAAAGCGTCCATTTAAAAAAAAAGATAGACTTTCTACGTCGGTTCATACCATAACCGACGTAGTAAACACGTACTCGCTTGAGCGACGAGTGTACTCGCTTGAGCGACGAAAGCTTCAAACAAAGGGGACTCTCGGGTTCCATCTCGCTTGAACGACGAGTGTACTCGCTTAAGCGACGAAAACTTCAAACAAAGGGGACTCTCGGGTTCCATTTCGCTTGAGCGACGAGTGTACTCGCTTGAGCGACGAGTGTACTCGCTTGAGCGACGAGTATACACTTTTCAACGTCGGGTATGAATAACCGACGTTGAAAGCCTTATCTATACCTGACGTTGAAAGTGTATACTTTCAACGTCGTCTGATACAACGTCGGTTGTATAACCGACGTTGAAAGCCTTATATAATCGACGTTGAAAGGTATATCTGTAGCAGTGTAATTAGCCAAACATATTCATCATCTCTTCTTAATTCAACAGTGATAAATGTCTTTAATTAAATTTCAGATTTTTATGTTTTTTACTCGTTTCACGAACATTTATTGCCTTATCATTACACCAACTGATACAACGCATTTGTAAGTATGAAAATAAACAGACCTACTTACATAAATAAAACAAGTTATTATATATTGTGAGTGGGATTTAAGATATATTCACAGAAACAAACTCATGTAAGATTGAATGCTAAAACAAATTCAACACCTTTATGAAGTGATTTAAGTTAACTAGACAAGGTTCTGTTCAATAGTTTACGACGGAATAGAATGTTAGTTTTCTCTCGAGGTAGTTTGTGTTTTCTTTCCTTTGTTAGGGACTATGAACTGGTTGCATAGGATTTTTTAAGAAACAGAAATTTAAGAGACATATATTGATCGGAATGTGATGGAACCTTGCTTGGAGATAAGTGTCCTTCGGAGAGATAGAAGAGATGGATAATAAAATAAAGAGGAAATTAACGTATTTTGTGATAAAAATGTCAAACTATGATGATATCAAAGTGTTAACATGAAAAATGATAGATTCCTTTTATTGAAAATTTACGTAGGAAACATGGAAAAGCAATACGATTTTGCCATGATAAATTCCATATCGGTTAAAATTGAAATAACTAAGGATTTATAAACTTGTGAGAAGGAGTTACATTTGCTGAGTTGGGTTGCGCCAACTTGTGGCCCAAGCGGGCGGCACCAGGGTGACGGCACTAGTGCTCGTTGTCATATTGGGCTGTGTAGGTTCATCTTGCTGATTGGCCCTGCTATACTTAAGGTAGGGTTCATATTATGGGGTTGGCTTATCAGAGCAGCTCCTTCAACCAGTTCATCATGAGCCTACACAGCCCATCACGACAATGAAAAGAGTATATAACAACATTTTTTATAGTAGATTTCAACATGTATACTAATTTTAAAATTATATTAGATATTAAAATCCAAGTCTAATATAAAATACACACGAAATTCAAACACAAATTAAATGATAAATCCAATTTATAAGTAATAATTAAATTTGTTTAGGTCATGGGTTTAAATAACACTATCTCATGAATTGGTTTATTAATAATTTTTAAAATAAAAATCATATTATTTTATTAAATATATATATATATATATTATAAATTAATTGATTTATTTTATAAAATAATAATTTTAAAATAAAAATCATATTATTTTATTAATATATATATATATACTGTAAATTAATTTGATTAGAATTTATATATTTTAAAAATAAATATATAATAAAATTTATTTCAAGATTTGATAATTAAGATTAATTATTATTTTAAATTAATAATTACTACAAATAAATAATAATAATAAATAAGTTTTTAATTTTAAAATTAAATGTATTTTCTTGTAATTTATATCTTAAATAAAAATTAATTTTATTAGTAAAATTTAAATTCTAAAAAAAATATATATTTTTATTTAAATATTATATATGTATTATAAATTAATTTGATTAGAATTTACATATTTTAAGAATAAATATTAGAATAAATCTTTAATAATAACTTATTTTAAGATTTGATGATTAAGATTAATTCTTATTTTAAGTTAATAAATTACTAAAAATAAATAATAATAATAATAATAATAAAGATATTAAATATATTTTTATAATTTATATATTAAATAATTATATTTTAAATAAAAATTAACTTTATTAGTAAAATTTAGAGTCTAAACCCTTCTCAAAATATAATTTTTTTTATTTAAATATTTTTTTAATTAATTGATTTTGTAAAGATATGATAAAAAATTTTAAATCGATCAGACAAATTGGACGGAATTCCCATTTATATGCTCTAATAATTAAATTTTGTCATGACAATGAAATTTTAAGATTATTTAGTGTTGATGGGAAAATGTGTATTTTTTTAATAACTTAAAAAATATATATGAAAAAGAAAAGTTATTTCAATTTGATTTTGATGCATAAAATGTAAATTAGATATTCATTGGATTTAAAATAAGAGAAAACAAATTATCCATATATTTAATTGATTAAATTTCCTAGGACGCTTGAATTATTTATTTTGAGTATAATATTTTTTACATATACCAGTAAAATTTTTTAAATAGTAACTTGTGTTTTAAAAAACTAATATTATTTCCGTTCGTCTAACTTTTATATATATATTTTTCTTAATTCTAAACATATTTTTTTAGATAACTTTTAGTAATAATAAGGGTAGATTGAAATCTAATATGGATGTTGGTTCTAACATATTCTTAATCATACATTTAATTAAAATTAGTTCACATGTTAAAATATTTATTAATATTATTTTTCATCGTTATTTGTAATAAGAATTTAAAAATATTTTTTTAAAAATAAATTACTAAGTACGTATTTAATATATTCGACAATCTATGAAAACACAAACAAGTTTCACCTTTTATTTTTTTTATAAATAAATGATGATTAAATAGATTGTGTTTAAGTGACCTCTTTTACTATTACTAACTAAATACATGCTTTAATTTTAAGAGATTATATATATATATATATATATATATATATATATATATAACTGGCACTTTCTCTAAATTTAAATTTAAATAATTCATGAACATAAACCAATATTTGATATGGTTTTAATTTTGTTTATCAAAACAAAGATAATTGACCACATAGAGTGTTTTAAAATCCTTGAAATTAACTCATTTGAGCAGGTGAATTTTGGATGGTTTTTTTTTATCCTATGTTTTAGGTTTAAGCCTCTATTCACTTAAAGGAATAGTAAATAAATAATAATAAAAAAATACTGAGGGTAGGTTTGTTAACTAGTTTGACATTTGAGTCCATCTATTTTGCTTTCCAATTTCTTTAACCCGTTCTTGGGTTCAGTCAGAAAATGCAAAGAAGTTGAGGGAGATTTTTCTGCCTTGTTGAAATGAATTAAAGAAGTTGCTTTGCAAGAGAGAAAGAAGTCTAGTGGCCATAGCCAAAGGTCTCTAAGGAAATTTCCTTGCAATCACATCACTATTATTCATTCCTTCCTACACTTCAAACTTCAAACTTCAAACTCCTTTTCCAATTGCACAAATTGCATCCCTCAACTTGGGAGCCACAATCTCCCACTTCCCTTCCTATTTATATAATCAATCAAACACCCCACAACACCAACAAAACAAAACCACTTGTATTGTACTCGTTACTGCGATTACGAGAACCAAGAACCACACCATCATGGCATCGCCCAAATGGTTATTATTCTCCTACAAGAACTTGTTCAAGATAACCTTTCCATGCGTAACTCCTCCCAGGCCCAAATCATTACCGGCATCGGCACCTCTCATTGGGCCTCCACGCCCACCAAAATACGATAACGGGCTGAAAGACGTTTTCGATCACTTGGACGTTGACAAAGATGGGAAGATCTCGAGCAGCGAACTAATGGATTACTTTGCGTCGGTTGGCGAGTCCCTGAGTCATAAAGTGGCAGAGAGAGTGATAAACGAGTTTGACTCGGACGGTGACGAGTTACTCGATTTCGGGGACTTTGAGAAACTGATGAAGCAAGAGGAGAGTGAGGAGTTGGAGGATGTTCTACGAAGCGCGTTCGAGATGTTCGAGGTTGAGAAAGGGTGCGGGTGCATAACGCCCACGGGGTTGCAACAAATGTTGCGGCAGCTGGGAGATGTGAAATCGCATGATGAGTGTGCCGCCATGATTCGACCCTTCGATCTTGACGGTAATGGCTTCCTTGATTTTCACGAATTTCAGCAGATGATGTCCCCTGCTTGATTCTTTCTTTGGTTTGGTTTTGCTTCTTTCTCTTTAGTCAAATGTAAAATGAAAGTGAATACTTTCTTGACGGAAGATAACGAAAACGCCGTTTCCTGTGACTCGTGAACGCTCCTTTTGTCTGTCATTTTGCTATCACTCTCGTTGTTACATTACATATATACGTTGAGAATTTTATTCCCTTCCGATTTAAACATAAAATCCTTAGTACTTATTCATAACTATTAACAAAATTAGGTTAACCAATACATGTAATTAATACTGTCCTAAATGATACAAGTTAACAAACAATGAGGAAAAACTTGGATAAATAATTTTTTGTTCCAGAAACAACAAAAGATTATTTAATTTTATGTAAAGTATCACACATTATGTTTTTTATATTACTTATGACTTTCCAACTTTATAATTCCCGGAGTTTATAAGTTTATAAACATTTTGATAAAGTTGTACCGGCAGATTTTTAGTTAAGCAAATAATTGGACAATTTGTTACTCAACATATTATATATATAGTTATACAAAATTACTAATATCCATATATTTTTATTTTCTAATTTATCAAAATAGTGTAATTCCCTTTTATTTTATTTTTTTAAATGAATAAATCGTGTTTTGAAATATAATTTCATTATAACAAAATTATGTTTAAAAATATATTTTTTTAATATTAAATCGTAAATTGATATATTATTTTAATAATTTTTTATTATTTTATTATTGAAGTTATGAATTAATACACGACTTTAGTTATAATTTTTTTTAAGTAATCAAGGACAATTTAATTAGTTTTATTTTAGTTTTTAGTTATTATTATTTTTAATATTTATAATTAAGAAAAAAAATTAGATATTTAGACATTAATATTATTAAATAACTTTTAAATAAATTAAATTGTTGAAAAGAAAATATTAATACAGTGAAAACAAATATAAACAAAATATAAGACACATAAAAAAGTAAAAATATAAATATAATGGGTTTGATATCGCACGGGCCCATAATAACATTGTTCGTCTTATATATACTGGGGATGCTAATTGGGATACCAATTGTCTTGAATCAATCTAATGCATTTGACGTATTATTCCTGATTTCAATAAAAAAAATCAATAATACAGTTACAGAAATATCATCATGATAATTATTCGTATAGATAATCAAAATGTCAAACTTTATCTGTTTATAATATATTAATATTTTAAAATAAAAATGTAATAATTTAAAAAAAAAACTAAACATAAAACTAACTAAAATTATCAATTAACTTCTGACTTCGTTAAAAAAATTATATCTGAACTCCTGTATAATATATATTCACATAAGTATTTTTTTTATTAAAATTATATATCAATATAAAAAATACATTTTTTCAAATACATTTTTTTTAATAAAAGTCATATTTAAAAACATGATATATCCATTTATTTTTTAAAATAAAATGTATCCATTTTGATAAAATTGAAAATAAATTATACTATGTTTCATATTTTATTTATTCATTAAAAGTATGTCATTATGTTTATATATATATAACATTACAATATAATATAATTCAAAAGTCAGTAAATATAATTAACAAATATTTTTCATATTTACAAATTGTATTTTTTTAATTAGTTTTAGACAATTAAAAAAAATTATTTGTCAATATACTAATTATTTTTTTATATTTGTTTCACAAATAAATAAGGGCAATAAGATTACATAACGATGAATGTTGATTTTATCAAAATATTTAAATTAATAGATATAAAATTACGTGTCTTGAGTAGTTTTTCATAAGTCTTACCTATTAATTAATTTGTTTGTATATAATAAATAGAATCTTTAGTTTGAACAACAAATACACTTTTATTCTCTTTTTTGAGATAACCGATTTCATATCAGTTAAATAGTTGTAAACAATATATTGTTTTAAGTGAAAAATTTGTTTATTCTTATGAGATTTTTTTTTTTTCAATTTACCCAAATTTTTACACACATATGAAACAATTAGGTTAAATATGTAATTTAGTCCCTTTATTTTTTTAAATGTTTTAATATAGTCTCAAAATTTTAAAAATTTTCAATTTAGACATGAATATTGAAATTCATGTTAATTTTGGACTACCGTTACTTATGTTTTGACTCATTTATATTAGATGCCTAGTTGAAGTATCGGTTCTGATGTGATTAGTTATAGTTACTAGGCAGAATTGTCACTTCACATTAAAATTGCAGGAATAAAGGAATAGAGGTCGCAGATGTGTTTAGGGTATGAACAATTGAGAGTTTGTGCAAATGAGTTAGGAAAAACGTGAGGATCTGCAATTTTGTCGTGAAGGTACGAGTTTCATTTGTCACGAAGGAGAATGAGGATGATTCCATTTTGGGTTTGTCACTACGACAACGAGGGTGCGAATTGCCGACGACGACGAGTTGGTTACATTTTGTCCCTTTATGCATTTTTCTATATTTATCTTTGATTTGTTGTAGTTGATATTTAGGTTGTAGGTTGTGTAATTGATCTTTGAATGAAGATGTCCTCAACCACCATTTCAAGCAAGACGTTGTTTTGAAGCAGAAGCCATTTTTCAAGTTGTCATTGTGGTGAGCTCGCGATGGAACCTTAAACCCCTACTGTCGTCATAAATGGAATTCTCACCTCCCCTGTCGTTATAGATCCTCTCACTTTCTCTCACCCATTTGTACAAACTCTCAATTGTTCAAACCCTAAATACATCTGCTACCCTATTCCTTTCTTCTTGTAATTTTAATGTGACATGCCAAATCTGCCACGTAACTATAACTAATTACCTAACTACATCAGAATTGATACCCCAACTAGGCATCTAATATAACATAGTTAAAACATAAACCACGGTAGTCCAAAATTGATATCAATTTCAATATTCATATCTAAATTAACAATTTTTAAAATTTTAAGATCAAATTAAAATATTTTAATAAATAAATTGACTAAATTACTAATTTAACTAAACAATTACAACAACTCTTTCATAATGATTATTTTTTAAAAATACCACTTATCAAGTGGTATAACTGCTGTCTTATAATGTACAGACTGTTGGCAAAATTTGGGTCATGTATATATATGATACATATTTAAATGTGTTAGGGTCATTATTTATTAAGCCAATAATAAAGTGATCTGGCTAAATTAAAAGGTTTGGCTAAAGGCATATGTCATGAAAATAAAATTGTGTAGAAACCATAGAACAATTTCTAATTTGATGAGGGGCCAAATTAGAAATACTAAAACTTAAGTAATTAACCTAATTTTGGTTATTTTAAGGGATCATGGTCCCCTTCTGGGAGCACGTAGACAGAACGTAGTAACAGTCTCGTTCTTTTCTTTCTATCCCCATCAAGAGAGAAAATCAAGAGGGAAATACAGGTGCTCTTCAGGTGTAAGACCATAAGATCAATAGTGCTCTAAAAGAGACATCATCATTATGACTAATTCAGGTACGCTTTCGCATTTAGTTTACAACATGTTTATGAGTATGAGATTACTTTATATTTGATCGTTAGATTGAAGATCATATTTAATTATCAGTTTACCTAACAATTGGTATCAGAGCAACTCATACTTGATTCATGTTTGTCTTTGGAAATTACATTTATCAAAGATTCTATTCAATCAGAACCCTAAGTGGAGAATAATCTCCCATTTTTGTAAACCCTAAATTTAAATTTGAGGATAAATTCTCAAATTTTAAACCTAGTTTGAAATTTGGGGTAAATTCCCAAATCAAGAGAGAGAGAGATAAAGAATAATAAGCTGTGGACAAAGAAGACGCCACGATTCATGAAGCGGAACGCAGAGTGAGAGAGGGTTTTGATTTTTCAAGAATTGCCTTCGGAGTCGGAGATGGAGTTATCGACTCCCAATTCTTCCAAACTCTTATCCATTAACCCTGGTTCTAGGGTTTTGAAAGGTCCTCTCACTGGCTAATTCAGACAATGACGTCGTCGGTGGTCGAAGGTGGACGCGACGAGGGCAAACGCGAGCTCTCCGATTTGATTACCGAAAGCATGAATCTGACGCCTGCAAACCTTTCCCTCCCCACTGAAACATTCTTGAGAGCAGCAATTCCCCTCAAGGAAAAGGTTGTAGAGGAAACTTGGAACTGGAGAGACCAGGTGGTTGATCCCACGGTGTACGTCGGACTGTTGGGCACTGCCTTCACTTGTTTGCAGTCGTACCAGGTTACTGGTTGCCGGAACGACTTGCAGTTATGCAGAGATATCATTGACACGTGTGTTACCACTGCACGTGTCTCCCTCAGACACGTGACCTTTTTATGCGGTAGTGGAGGCGTTTATGCGCTTGGTGCCGTGGTTGCCAATTACACGGGGGACCTAAGAAAACGTGGGACCCGCTGCCTTAATTAACAAGAGAATATGATGGTGTTAATGTCGTGGAACCCGCTGCCTTAATTAAAAAGCCATCATACGTGGCGTTATAGTACAATTTTTTTTTTTTTTAGAAGTGGCCCTTGAGACTTAATTTGATTTAGGGTTACCCTTATTAATATATTCAATTTGTTTGGTAGTTTAATATTTTTGTGAGCAAATTGAGTCAAGAAGTTACCAAAGTAACATCTCTTGAATTGGGTAGTTCATGAAAAATATTAAATGTTAGTGTTTGTGTATATTCATGCGAGTATTAGTCGGCCCAAAGGAAGATTAATATTTGGCCGAATTGCATATACACTTGTAATGATAACACATGTGATAATTATAAGGATTTGCTTTGTCGATGATAAATCAATCCAAAGACTGGTTTGTTGTTGGACGTGCTTTATTGTCAATGTTTGATTATTACAACAAGATATCTCTAGTAGTTAATATTACTGTCCAAAGACTTGATATTGATGGTCCATTGGGTGTCTTGAGATAGGTTAAACCATTATTTGAATATATATTTTATTTATAATTATTTATTTTTATAATGTGAGCATAATTAATTTATTTCTCTTGTTTTTAATTTAG